CCCCCCCCCCCCCCAAAAAAAAAAAAAATCTATTTCGTGTTTTGATCATTTCTAAAATTTGTTATATAGATGTTTCACACACACAGAAAAATGTCAATAAAAATAATTTCAAATGATTCTCAAATAATTTCCATAATTCTCTAAGATCAAATAACCATAAAGATCATCAACAGCTTTATTAGTGCTGTTTAACAATATAATAATCAGCATGTCACTAAAAGGTGCTGATGTCCTGTACCTTAGCTTTAATCTTGTGAGCATTCTTCAATGTAATTTGTTGTTCTAAAGCAGCAGGTACCAGTATATCACATTTCTCATAAAGCATGTTGTCTGTATACGGTTCAGCCCCTGGGAAGCCCACAACTGTTCCATTTTCCTGAAGTGAAAAAAGTGAGGGAAAGAGATTAATATATATTTGCATTTTTAGTTCTTAAGAACTGACATATGTTTGGGGCATATGTTTGAAAAGTTTATTGTCATGGATAGATTAATTAAAAAGCTTTTAATTATGGAGATCCCCAGTCAACCATGTTATTAGGAGAATATATACTAGTCAACATTTGTTAGGGATCATATTTTTATGGACTGATATTTTTGCCCACGTGTATTTTTTTTTGGGTCTCCAACATGAAGTTGCACAACCATATGTATTAGTCACTGATGTTATTGTTGTTGTTTTGGTTGAATGCACAAGAGTAAAAACGCCAAAGCTGGTTCCTTAGCTCACATTCAAAGGTTGTTTCCCAGTATACAAACATGCTTGGTCAGTTGAGTGTTGTCGATTGCACAACCAATTCCCCTGGTGGTCATCTGTGCTGTTCACAGATAAGACCCAAGTTTTGCTTAAACCTTCTGGATTGACGCTAGAAGGGTGTGGAGATGGCCAAGGGAGCGAAACAGTCAACCAAACATCTTCGAGCATGATCGGTTTGGATGACAATCAGTTCTGGTATGGGGTGCAATTACAATCCATGGGTGTTCTGACCTCTGGATTGGGACTCTCACTGGTCTGAGGTATCGAATGAGATCGTCGGCTCTATAGGTTGTCCCTATGCTGTTGGTGACAACTTCACCCTAATGGACAACAATGCCTGTCCCCATCAAGCCAACGTTGTGAACTCTTACTCTGAAGTGCCGAATAATAGTGCCTACCAAATAAATGTGCCCCCAGCAAACTTTCCGAAATTAATAATAACTAGAGGATCAGAGAGGCGATACCGCCTCCAAATTTTGTACCACCAGCTGGAGCAAACGCATTCGTATAGACCCCCACATACACAAAATAAGGGACACAGCCACCAGTTTTGTGCTTGACAAGCTGTAAAAATGCAATCAACAAGAATTTTTTAACTATTGCAAAAAATATATATGGTACAATCAAATTTAAGTTCTTCGTAAGGTAGGTCAAGGGTCAATTTCAAGGTCACAGTAAATTGCCAGTATATGACTTNCTCCCCCCCCCCCCCCCCCCCCCCCAAAAAAAAAAAAAATCTATTTAGTGTTTTGATCATTTCTAAAATTTGTTATATAGATGTTTCACACACACAGAAAAATGTCAATAAAAATAATTTCAAATGATTCTCAAATAATTTCCATAATTCTCTAAGATAAAATAACCATAAAGATCATCAACAGCTTTATTAGTGCTGTTTAACAATATAATAACCAGCATGTCACTAAAAGGTGCTGATGTCCTGTACCTTAGCTTTAATCTTGTGAGCATTCTTCAATGTAATTTGTTGTTCTAAAGCAGCAGGTACCAGTATATCACATTTCTCATAAAGCATGTTGTCTGTATACGGTTCAGCCCCTGGGAAGCCCACAACTGTTCCATTTTCCTGAAGTGAAAAAAGTGAGGGAAAGAGATTAACATATATATTTGCATTTTTAGTTCTTAAGAACTGACATATGTTTGAAGCATATGTTTGAAAAGTTTATTGTCATGGATAGATTAATTAAAAAGCTTTTAATTATGGAGATCCCCAGTCAACCATGTTATTAGGAGAATATATACTAGTCAACATTTGTTAGGGATCATATTTTTATGGACTGATATTTTTGCCCACGTGTATTTTTTTTGGGTCTCCAACATGAAGTTGCACAACCATATGTATTAGTCACTGATGTTGTTGTTGTTGTTTTGGTTGAATGCACACGAGTAAAAACGCCAAAGCTGGTTCCTTAGCTCACATTCAAAGGTTGTTTCCCAGTACACAAACATGCTTGGTCAGTTGAGTGTTGTTGATTGCACAACCCATTCCCCTGGTGGTCATCTGTGCTGTTCACAGATAAGTCCCAAGTTTTGCTTAAACCTTCTGGATTGACGCTAGAAGGGTGTGGAGACGGCCCAGGGAGCGAAACAGTCAACCAAACATCTTCGAGCATGATCGGTTTGGATGACAATCAGTTCTGGTATGGGGTGCAATTACAATCCATGGGTGTTCTGACCTCTGGATTGGGACTTTCACTGGTCTGAGGTATCGAATGAGATCGTCGGCTCTATAGGTTGTCCCTATGCTGTTGGTGACAACTTTACCCTAATGGACAACAATGCCTGTCCCCATCAAGCCAACGTTGTGAACTCTTACTCTGAAGTGCCGAATAATAGTGCCTACCAAATAAATGTGCCCCTGGAAAACTTTCCGAAATTAATAATAATGCCTAGCGGAATAATTGTACTAGTAGTGTACTATTGGTGGCAAGTTGACATACTTTTTTGCAACACGCATGTAACGACAGAGCCTCGACAGAGACTCCGGGCGGCATGCATTGACGAGCTATTTTTATTTACGCTAAAAAACAAGTTGGAGTATAGTAGCTGCGACAGGTAATTAATAGAAATTAACTTGTCCAATGAAACGATCATCAACATTTCCGAAACGATCAACAGTATGTCCAACCAGCACAATGACTGCCAAATAACTGTGCCGGTTGGATAATTGGGGAAAATTATATATCGTGCCAGGGAAATAAGATCATGCCGGGTGGAAAATTTCCAGAAAAAAATTATCGTGCCGGCACTATTATACGTCACTTCAGAGTACTTGGAGCAGGAAGGAGTTACTCATGGACTGGCCTGCAAGGTCACCAGACCTCAATCTGATTGACCATGTTTGGGATTGCTCCAGAACCGCACTCAAGCTTGGCAAAACACTCCCATGACAATTCGACAACTGGAGGATGCTTTGGTGGAAGAGTGGGACCAGATCACCCAACAGCAGCTATCCCGCTTTATTCAGAGCATGCGTAGAAGGTGATTCATGCAAATGGTGGTCATACACACTACTAGGGAATTTTTGCATCCAATTTCTTGCTGACATGAGACATTTTACTGGCATAAAGTGTTTTTTTAAAGTGAATGCGTGTAAAGGCAGTGCTCTTCTGAAGTGTTCTTGGTGGCGATTATTTTCTTCTTCAATTTGATCTTTTTTTCTCACTTTTACTCTGAAATGACTGAAATTTGGTCTCTTAAGTATTCTTAAGCAAACCAGTCATAATTGTCAAAATATTATTAGCAAAAGACATGATCCCTAACAAATGTTGACTAGTGTATAAGAAAATGTATACTTAATCATGATCTATAACAAATTCAACTGCAGTATATCTGCTTACAATCTTGTAGTCCTCCAATTCCCTGGGATCTATCCCCTGTTGGTTGAAGATGCTACCATCATGTTCCATGATACCTATGCAAATGGCACCAGCTCTGTGCAGATATCTCATGGTGTGCAGGCCAACATTGCCAAAACCCTGGAGCATTTGATAAAAAAAATCATCTTCTTGTCACATTGTTTTCAGTTCATATGTAAACAATTTGAACAGATTATCATCATCATTATTTCATAAAATAGTATTATTATCATGAGGGGTGCAAAACACCCATGGGTATGAAAAGAAAAATTATTGCTGTTGGAGCTACAACCAACAGCAATAACAACCTTGTTTACCTTGTTCACTGTAAATTGGTAAAATATCTATTCTACACCAAATAAGTGTTTAAAAATTTTTTAATTCAAAATTCTAAGGACTCCTTTCATTCACCAAGTTCATTCTTAAGCTGTCCTCTGTTTGGGTGTTATTTAACAGGATGATCCCCAAGTGCTATAAGTACCACTCTCAAGACAGACCAAGAGGGGCCGATTAATTTTTGGTTAAACATTCTAAATGCATCTTACTCCAAACTTTGTCAAATTTGGTGACTTAAAATCAAATTTACCTGTATAATGAAAGTCTTGTCCTTGAAGCCAGGAGTCAGGCCAATCGTGCTCATATAGCTAGACTCATTGATGAAATTCTGAATTCCATGGTATACACCCTGCAGAGATGATGGATAACACTGTCAGTTTACATATTGGGATAAATAATGTGAACCGTAGCTAATCATTCATTATTCATTTTATCTCTGGTCAGCGAATTCTGATATAAAAACTTAGTAATCGTCATTAAGGAGGAAGTGTGTCTTCATAAATCATCATTGTTAGGTAAGTAAAAGATGTAAGGTAGCCAATGGAGACACTGGTGTTTGTTCTGTCACTTACCCTGCCAGTAGCAGAGATTCTGCCATGGATGCCTCCTTGAGTAATAGGTTTTCCTGTGATACAGGCAGCTGCATTGAGATCGGTGTGACCTGAATAAATAATTTACAACCAATATTAACCTAAATAAATCTATAATAAAATGGATAAGACTGATAGATCGAAAGGGATAAGTGAATCGAAAGCTACAGATACAACTGTTTTAACAGTTTTATCTTAAAACCCAACAAACAAACAGAACAGGATGAATGTCTAAACTTAAAGATTACAATCAACTATTTACATTAAATCACAAGATACATGTGTATATCTACAAAGCTGCTGATTATCTTTCGGCATCCAGTGACTGTATTTGGCCAAAATGTCATATATATATATATACTGACATCACCTAGCAAGTACAAGTTTTTATATACATATAGATTGATACATTATACCTGGCAGATATATTCTCATCATATAAGCTACAGCTGCAGAGGACAAGAATTCAAAGGAAGTCTCAGAAATTCAAATATACCACAAGTTGCACCAACTGTAGAATGCATTAATGATAATTAGGTTCCACCTTCATACAAAGGTTTTACTGTAATTCCAATCTGACCAAATGATCATTTTAGTGTAACTGCAGTATGTCCAAACTAACGAAATAAATATATTTGAATAATGGGTGTCAATGTTTGGATTCTGTTCTACTTGTATTCATTCTTTTAAAATGCCTTATTTTTACACACACACTGTCACACACACACACACACACACACACACACACACACACACACACATCAAAGCTTTCCCCAAAGAGCCATTCAGGCATCATTTACATGATATGGCCACTTCCCTCAAAAGACAGCACTTTCAATGATAGCCTGAAAGCTAATTTTGCAGTTATGATGGCATGATTTGTCAAAACAGGTGGCTGGAGAGGATTTTTTGATGTGCCTATTTTTTCTTTTTGGGCCACTGTACTGTCTTATAAAGCAGTGAGATCCCCATCAGGTTACCAGCCCTACATAATTCGACTGCTGTCAGGGAACTCACTGAAACTGGTATATTGTTCTTGTTTCTTGGATATCTGGTTGAGACTGGTTCATTAAATTAGTTCACACAATCGTGCATGTATAACCAGTCTTAACTGTTAATTCTACTGGCTCATTCCAAGAATTTCTTTGATGATTAAAAGCATTATTTCAATTTTGAAATGAAAATGGTGGAATACCCCCTATCACAACATTTTTGATGTAGTTTAACTCCCTGAAACCCTAGGAAAAGCCCTGACACATACACTTGCCACTAATATACAATTTCTGTAATCCAGATAAGATCTTTTGTGTACTCTATTTTTCTTACTATCACGTGCTCACCTATAGTGTTACTGTACGTATCGGCAATCCAGCTCATTTCTCTTTCTCCTGTGCCCATATCAGGGGCTGGAACGTCAACACCAGGACCTAAGAGGAACAAAACATTCCACAATAAGGTTTAAAAGTAAAGTATATTTAAATTCTATTTCTTCTTCAGATCATTTATGATGATTCACACATATGATGATTCACTCAATATAAACATTGATTTTTTATCAAAGAATACAGAACAATTTTCACAAGAATAATCTTTCTTTTATTTCTTTAAAAATAATCCGTCAAAAATTCTGCATCACACTGCATCACAACTTTTGCACAATATCACACAAAGGTATTTAAATATTCCTAGTTTTAATAATTTCATTTCATTGAAATTTGTCTTTCAATCCATCATGGGACAGGCAGTCTTTAACAGGTGTTAAACATCACTGTTAATCAATTGGTTCAACTGCACTATCCTTTCAAACTGGTTTCTTCATTATATTTCATCAATGCACTCCATACACTTTCTAGTCTATTAAGCATCATGAATATATCAATTACTCATGTGTCATACTGATTTACATATCACAATTCTGTTCCCCCATTTAGTTCACTAGCTCCCTTCATAAGTAGCCATCAGTTTGATATAATATCTGAAAGCCCTTTTCATTCACAGGAATATATATTTGCTCCTTAAATAAGTTCTGCTTTGCAAAAATTTTGAAATTCCCATGCGATAAACATAACAGAAATCACTGGTTACAGGTTAATAAATGCTCATGTGGATCAATGAATGTGACATAAGAGGATCAATGAAGGGACCATTCAGATCGAGAAGAGCTGAGTGCTAGTAAGGCAGCAACCTAAATATGGCGGACCTACATTAAAGGAAGACTGCTAATCCTGTAATGGTCTCTCCGCCTCTCAAACGCCTTCCCACGACCAGTTGAATTGAGCCGAGATTTAATTACTGTGCCCCTGCAGGGACGACGCCTGGGGAGGTGTGTGAGAGGCAGAGAGACAATTCACACACATGCGTTCCCATCACCTTATCATACTAGCACTGCAGGAATGATCTATCTCAGCAGAGATTCTCACTAAAGCGTAGTAAATGTAATCAACCTTATTTTCTGTAATGCCCCCTCGCAAAGCAACATAAACAACATCCTGAAAACAAAGTTTTCCCCGACTTTACCTAAGGACTTTAAGTGAAGAGGGGTGGGCCAAGCATTCAAGTTGCTTAACTGAATGCAATTTAGCTAGAAAACCCATAGAGTTAGATTGATCCGGCTAATATGATATAGGGTTATGGGAACAGTCCCTTACTGTGGTGTAAGTCTTACCAATGAATCCTTTCTTGCCCAGTTCCACTGCCAGCCTCCTTGTGATCTTTTCCAGTTCATTCTCAGAGTAGTCATGAGGGTTAATCTTGACTCCAGCCTTTGCCCCACCGAATGGTACATCCACAACAGCACATTTGTAGGTCATCAAAGCAGCCAGGGCCTTCACCTCATCAATGTTGACTTCAGGACTAAAACGGATGCCTGCAGCAAAACAGAATCCAATTAAAAAATAAAAATAAAGCTTGAGAATTTTTCATTCAGGTAAACAGAGGCTCCATATGCATCTATCATTTTTGAGTTTAAAATGAGGAAAGGAATAAAAAAAATTTTAAACATATTTATCCCTTTGAGCAAATATGTGCAAACCTAAAATAGGATTAATAAAAGATATAGTTTTTTTGCAAACCAGTTCCATGATTTACTCAATTTGAGATAATTTTTTTAATGTGTTGCACTCCTAAACTTTCTTTATACTAGTATCTGACAAGTTTTTCATAAATGTCAGTGTCTTGAAAGCAAGCTACAAGGTCAATGTGGTTGTTATTAAACATTACTGTCAGGAGAATAAAAGAATTTATTTGGCACAAGGACATGTTGATGTAAGCAGATACTGAAGAAACTGCCCCCTGGCAGCTTTGGAACTTCAGCTAATCATATCAACATTTTCTGGGCAAAAAATTGTATTAGCCTGATAGATGTGAAAGAATGTTAACTAAATTAGGTATGATAGGTGTGTCACTGCAATTATGTATGTCTGCCTGTTTTAAAAAAACTCCCTCCCAACAGTTGTGACCAATATCTTATTCAGTGACATTGTACCATTTGATAACATATGCATATATACACATTTCAAACCAACCTGATTTACAGCAAATAACAGCTGACACTAACAATGTGTAAAACTGGGGTTAACTACACCATAAAAGGTAATGAATTCAATTCAACTCCTTAAGTCAGTGGGAGTACATGCGCAAAATAACCTTCAACAGCATTTGACCAACCATATAAATGCACATACAGGCACACACACTGCCCAACATAATATATATATATTGTTTATGTCTAGATGCATAATAAATTAAGGATATTTAAAGGGTGTGTACCAAATGTTACATCTACACATGTATCATTTAAGTGACATTTAGCATTGCATGTAAAATCTAGAACTTTTTTTTCCTGTTTTGGGAGTGTCATTTCCTTGATTTATATATACTTATAGATACCATAGAGAAGTGTTACACATCTTTGTACTGATTGTAGATTTTTAAAAAGTGGGATGGTTTGGGTAAACAATGTTACATGAAGAGAGAGTGACAATATGGGTTTTAATTCTACCTGATGAAAATAATTTAAAAATAATAAAAAAGCATCTACATTCTTACTGTCAGCACCCAAATACCTACTGCAGTATTATTTATTTTCATTCAAGGGATAAGGTATTACTGAAAGCACTATAGTGATTGAAGATGAAGTACAAAGTCCTTTTATTGATGAAGTAAACCACAGTCACCTATTTAGATAAATAACAGAAGTGAAACACTCTAATGAGCAATTTAAGTCTGCAAACATTCAAGAAGACCAAAATGAGGTTTTTAGGGGAGATTATGTCCCAACATTGCCTTTTCTCCAGTAATTATTTACAAAGTCATTCAAATTGCAAACTTGTTATGAGATTGTATCACTTACATTGGAAAGGAGTTGACATGACGTTTGCAAATTTTATGTCTGATTCAAAGGAGCAGACGTATTCACAGAAATACTGTTAAAAGGAATGAATGCCTTTACCTCCTTTACATGGCGTCCGATGCTGACTGTGCTGAGCTCTGTGGGCTTCAATCATTTCATATTCTCCATTGTCTCGTTTGATAGGAAATGTAATATTTAAAACGTGGTGGCAGGGTTTGATGATTTTTAAAATTCCTCGTACTTTACTTCTTTTCTCTTCTGGTGTCAGCCTTCCTTTCCACTCTTCCACCAACTGGTCTTCCACTAGACTTGCAGCTTTGTCGAAAAAAACATCAACCATGTCGGAAAAGCTTGGTTCCTTGTCATCATCACCAACACTGTCTGAAGCTGTAGTTTCAGAATTCCGCATTGGTGTAGTTGTAAATAAACGACGGCCATTTTGCATTGGAGAGAACAGGCTGTTTTTATTCGCAGTCTTTGCTATTTTCTTGGTCACAGCTCGAAACATTGTTACTTCCTGAAGATGTGTACTACCTAGGGCTGCTTTATAAAGTTGAAACTGATATACAACTGGCACAACACAGTCAAATTAGTTCATTAATATAAAGCAGCTACCTCCACGCAGCTTGACCTCCGTTGCAAGTGACCTTGAGCAGGAGGTGTGACCACTTATAATCCAATCATGATGTTCAGTGTATATGACGTCATATTCGTTGTCCAACAAAGGTGTTTCTGATTGCGGATTATTACAGCTCCAACTTTTACGTACCACAAAAGCGTTCTTCAGTATGATTAAGAGTTTTCCACTACAGAGTTTTGTTAGCACATCACTTATGAGAAAATTATTTGATACCAATATTTCTCCCATTCTGCCGGGGAGGGGGTAATAATTATGCGTACAATTGTCCTGCCTATGTTGGGGAGAATTCCAGGACAATTCCCCACCCCCACCCCCGGACAATTGCCCCCATGACAATCCCC